GGAAGAAATTTCCTATCCTTTTAGAGAACTATAGGCCCATCACTGTTCCATCTAGTTTCTCAAAAATATTTGAATATGTATACCTACATGGTTTACTACATTTCATTGAGAGGCATAACATTATCTCCCCGATTCAACATTGTTTTCGATCCAATATGTCCACTATTACTGCTGAGACAGCTTTTTACTCAAAAATCTTGGAGTACATCGAGGCTGGTGAATGCCCTGCTAGAATATTTTGTGATCTCAGTAGGGCATTTACTGCGTCGACCACACGATATTATTAAATAAACTATATTCATATGGAATAAGAGGAAATGCCCTTGACTGGATAGAGTCTTTCACCAGAAACATGAGTCAGTTTTTTTCGGTGAATCAGAGAACTGAAAATAGTCATCGTAAATGTATTTCAAATACACAAGTTTTGACCATTGGAGTACCACAAGGATCAGTGTCGGGACCGCTATTATTTATATTATATTGTAATGATGTTGGGACCGCGGTTGCTGAGAATACATGCGTTATGTAAGCAGAATCTGTTCAAATCTAAAAATTAATATTAATGAGAATGAAAACACACTTTCTTTATCCGATGAATGTAAATTTTTGGGACTCAAGCTGGATATTTGTCTGAACTGGAAGAGTCATTGCAGTAAACTGATATCGAAACTAGGTTATGTTTCGTATCTGATACGAAATCTTAAGCCAATATTAACCACTGAACAGTTAGTAAATTATTACTATGCATATATAGAATCTAGAATCAGATATGGCATCTGTCTTTGGGGAAGCTCTTCATTGGCTCCAAATGTATTTATTGCCCAAAAAAACTATACGGATTTTAGCAGGCGTTAATCAGAGAAACTCCTGCAGAGATTAATACAAACATTTGAAAATTCTAACTTTCCCGGATATTTTCATTTCTGAAATGTGTGTATTCATTCACAACAATAGGTCGAAATATGATCGCATTTCATCTTACCATAATGTAAATACAAGAAAGTGCAATGATTTTTACATAAATCCCGTCAAATATAATATGCTAACTCACCTTCTTGCTTGGGGCTAAAACTTTATAACAAACTGCCCGACTTGAAAACTACCGATAGAATTCAGGTTTTCAAAACCATCCTAAAAAGGTTTTTATTAGAACATAATTTTCATACTATAGATGAATTTCTCAATCTTCCGTAATTTTATTTATCTATCACATTAATTGAATGAAGCTGGAGTTGACTGAAGTTGATATGTTTTGTATGCATATGACAATCTTCCAAGTATGTTTGGTTTAATTTTACTCTAAGTATTATTTTATGTATATGTACAAATGCTATTTGACCTATCCTATAACTTTGTAAGTTCTACAGGGTGAATAAAGTGATTTGATTTGATTGGAGAAGTTGCTGAGGATGTCGGCATATCGGTTGGCTCATGTCATGCAATTTTTTCGGAAATTTTGGTCACGAATCTTGTGGCAGCGAAATTCATTCCAAAATTGTTAAATTTTCACCAAAAAAACTGTCGCCTGAGCAGGAATTGTTGAATAACGTCAACGGCGATCCAGATTTGCTAAAAAGGGCCTAACCTAACCTAACCTAACCTAACCTATCCCTTCCTTGTAGACTTAAGTTCAACTTGTTGGGGGCACTGAAGATATCGGCCAATACGCCACCATTGTGAGTCATTCCAAGTTATTGAAGTGATTAGCATGTTTATTAGCACCTCCTACAGATTCTGATCTCAGCTCAGCTGACCTTCATACACGTACTCGCGGACCAAAGGTCAAGAAACAATGATCTAATCCAACATTTCTGTAGTTCAATGTACATTTCAAAGTCCTCACAATCAACTGCATTTTGCTTGTGTTCCACTTTCTATAAAAACAATTTTTGGAGCTGACTTATTTGTTCTTCAAAATATTCATTGATTTTTTTTAGCATTGGCACTGGAGATCCGTCTGATAATTTGAACCCCAAGACTCGAGGTGAAAAACCAATTATCCCAAGTGCAGATAAATTTATTGAAGTATCCTCAAATAGCATTACCTTACGTCTTAGTGCATGGTCAGACGGTGGATGTCCTATGTTATATTTCGTGATTGAACAGAAAAAAAAGTGAGTTGAACGTTTTTGGATCTCTAGGTACATATTACAGTTTCGTTTTGTAGAACCAATACTGAGTGGATTCAAGTATCCAACAATGTGAAACCAGGACAAAACTTTGTACTTCTTGATTTGGATCCAGCTCAGCGGTATCACTTGAGGGTCACTGCTCATAATAACGCAGGGTTCAATGTAGCAGAATACGAATTTGCTACTTTGACTATCACAGGAGGTAAGGTCGTGTTTGTATATATGTACATATGTTGGTTTGATTTTGTTTGGTTATGCTTGTTTGATGTTTTGTGTTTTTATCATTTTCTGATAATCTTGTTCTTGGTTTCTTGAAATTTCATGAGTTTCCAAGTATTTCTTTGAATTTTTGTTTCAAATAATATAATTGAATTGAACCGTAATTTGGCAAATCAATAAATTTGTTCAGATAAAGATATTACTCTTTACCAAGATAAGATTTCCAGTTTTTTCTTTGTTTTATTTTGTGTTTGCAGCACATGTTTTATAACCAACACCATGTACATAATCATCATAAGAACGAATTCTTCAAGCTTCGTAAAAGTACGCTTGTAAATAGCAATAGTACCTGAATATAATACATAGCGCTGCAAATCATCATTAGTCGTTCCATTTTAACCTTTTTATTGAAATCATATCAACACAAAATAACCATATCAAAAAATATATCTTGTAGTGTTAAGGCGCTGTTATTTCTGATACTTTTCCTGATTTCTAAAAATCTAAAAAAACANAAGAAGAAGACAAAGACCAAAACGGGATATACAGTATACAATGCTCGGACTGCAACAAATTCTATATCGGCCAAACCAAGAAAAAACTGATCCAAAGGTACAATAAGCACAAAAAGGCATACATAAATCCAAAACCTCGCAACACACGCCATACAAAACAAACATAATTTCCCCCCACCAGAGAACATAAAACTCATAAAACAAGTCAACAAGGGAAACCGCATGGACTTTTGGAAAAACTTGAACATCCATAAATTTAACAGTCATAAATCACTTATCGAGGAACAAGTACAAATCAAAACACAACAAGACGTCACATTCAATATATTAAATAAATCCATACACATTCCAGTCAGTACAGGGCAGGCGGTCCTCGATTGAAGACAAAATGAGAAAAACCAAGAAAGTACTTGATAAAAATAGCTGCGTAAACGCAAGCGAAACATAAGTGGAACCACCTATTGGTGTGACACCCAAGTCAACTTGCCAAGTGGCTCTTGAATTGAAATCAATATGGGAATGATCAAAAAGTACTAATCTAATCTAATATCCAGATAACTATAGACCCATATCTGTCATTCCTATCTTTGGTAAAATTTTTGAGATGTTGATTAAGGATCGCTTAATTTCCTTTTTAAATGTTCATTCAGTATTTAATAAAAGTCAATTTGGATTTAGGTCTAACAAATCGACAACCCAAGCTGTGATGGCTATAGTTGATACAATAATAGAGAATATGGAAAAGAGGCTAGTGTCTGCTCTAACTCTATGTGATCTAAGTAAGGCTTTTGACAGTGTAAATCATGAGCTCCTACTAGGTAAATTGGAATATAACGGGATACGTGGCAGAGCTTTAGAGCTAATAAAAACTTACTTGTGTGGGGGAAGACAAGTTGTTTATACATCTGGAAGTTCTAGCACCTGCAGATCTATTTTGCACGGTGTACCACAAGGATCCATGCTAGGACCAATTCTTTTTGTGGTATAATAATGATATTTTTAATTTCTTACTCCCAAGCTTATTTTTTTGCTATGCAGATGATGTATCAAGAGTAAAAGCAGACTCAAATGTTAACGACTTAATGGACCTATGTTCTAGAACATAATAATTGTTTTAGATGTAATCAGCGTGTATAACAATAACTACCGTTCAATTATTGTTATTCTTGTTTGTCAGTTTGACTTGTCACTATTGTACTTTTGTAGTTGATGTGATGAAATAAACATATTCTATTCTATCAAGACACAGTAGAATAAATATTTATTGAGACATGGACCTACAAAAAAAAACATTACATTAAAATGGACTTTTGAAACAACCCAATATTTAATGTGGAATATTGATAGAAACACATGTACTTTTTATTTAATACATATAAGAAATTTATCGTCCTCTAAAGTAAAAAGGGCTATTAGTCATCAATCGCCCAGTTAAAGTACTTATTTCGAAATTGTTCAAATCTACTAAGGAAAATAGATTGCATAATTCAAAAAGAAATAATTTGAATATTCAATATCTTTTAACATTGTTGTTTTGTACCTGAGCGCTGAGTAGTCCTTTCTGGAGCTCCTTGAAACACCCCCTGTGTTTTGGTTTCAGGTACTATTGCCCCGGCTCGTGAAATCCCCAAAGAGGACACCATACAAATAGTCCTCGCAAACCTTAACCTTGTAGTTCCCGTAGTGGCTGCCGTCTTGGTCATTATTGTTGCCATTATCGTGATCTGTGTGTTGCGTGGCAAAGGAAACTATAACAAAGGTACAGTGTAATGTGTGTTGTATTCTAGGTACGATCGCACCCGCCAGAGACTTGCCCACCATGAAAATGCTCTTCCCGTGGATTCCCGATTGGGTCGATTGGAACATTGCGGTTCCCGTTGCTGCGACTGTAGTCGTGGTCGTAGTTGGTATTGTTGTCATTTGCGTCGCGCTTTCCAGGAAAGCTCACGGGCCTCTCCAAACCAGGCTCCGGAGCGACTGTATGTGTATGGCCCCTTCTTCATATCTCATTTTTTTTCTTTTCGTTTGAACCCTCTGCATTAGAATACGTCACCGATTGACTGTGTGTGCATTATTGAGTATCTTCAATACTTGATGATAGAATCACTACTTGAGTGACTTAATGATATGAACATTTATTTTTCACAGTGGAAAATTTTATTATGCGAACTCATATAATTAGATATTCGTTACTAGGCTGATATAAAAGTCATGACTACCCACCTTCAAAATTTGCGCGAGAATGTTTTCCAAAATTAACACCTTCAGAATGCTTTCGAAAAAGGAGAGATTTTTTTTAAATCGAACATTTAGTGTTCGAAAAGTTAAAAAAATGAGTAGATAATTTTCTTAATATATTTGACATTTTTGTCGGTTGAGATATATGTCAAAAACATAATTTGCTACCTATTCCATAGACATTTCTCAATTTATTCAAGGAACACTTTACTGTGGGATTTTACTAGACAATTTTAGAAAAACACAACACGTGATTCGCTATACAATAGTTTCTTGAGGCGTGTCTATATAGTATGGACACGCTTCTTGAGGCGTGTCTATGTAGTATAGATATGCCTCAAGAAGCTATATAGTATCTATTCAGGGGCGTGTCTACATAGTATCTTGAGGCGTGTCTATATAGTATGGACACGCTTCTTGAGGCGTATCTATGTAGTATAGATATGCCTCAAGAAGCTATATAGTATCTATTCAGGGGCGTTTCTACATAGTATCTTGAGGAGTGTCTATATAGTATAGATATGCCTCAAGAAGCTATATAGTATCTATTCGGGGCGTGTCTACATAGTATCTTGAGGCGTGTCTATATAGTATGGACACGCTTCTTGAGGCGTGTCTATGTAGTATAGATATGCCTCAAGAAGCTTTATAGTATATATTCAGGGGCGTGTCTTTATAGTATAGACACGCCTCAAGAAGCTGTATAGTATCTATATAAGGGTGTTTCTATATAGTATAGACACAGAAGCTTTATACTACAGACACGCTTGAAGAAGCCATTGTATAGCAAAGCACGTGTTGCGTTTTTGTGAAATTGTTTACTGAGAATCTAACAATAAGTATTTCTCGGACACGGTATGGATTATTATCAAGTATCAGCCGATTCCGTCACATAGTTCTCAATTTTTTTTAAACCTGTATCCTTCAGAAATAATTCACAGCAAAACAATCCTCATGAAATATGTTACAGATTGAACTTTAACGTGCATAATAATAAATACGGTTTCAAATTCGTTCCAAACAATATACAAGCGTGATATTGAAAAAAAAAAAATTATTGTGAATTCACAAAAGTTGCCTATTCCTACTGATCAAGATTGTTTATTCCTACTGATCAAGATTGTTTATTCCTACTGATCAAGATTGTTCGTTCCTACTGATCGAGATTGTTCATGTTTTCATTATTGTTTATCTTGAAATTAATCAAATATGAATGACGATAACATCTGTGACGTATTGTGACGCCCGAAGATGCTATTATATAGCTATACACGTGTCATGGTTTTATAAAGATCCAAGTGGAAATCTCACATCGAAGTGTAATTTTTGAATACATCATAATGGATTTTCATCAAATAGCGGTCAGTTCTGTCATATTTTTTTTAAAAAAGTTCAGTTAATTTTGATGAGACATTTTAATCTTGATATGTTATTTTTTGAGAGCATTTGTGACTACATTCTCATTAGATTCAGATTGCATTTTATTGCAATGTTAACTGAAAATGAATTTTATATCTATTAATTAGAAGCTTGATTGCACAATAGATAATTGAAAGCAGTAAGCAAAGATATAACTCTATCAAACTCTTCTAATCCTGCATTTTATGTACAAAATGCATAATCCGCTCTATATAATTATAACCAAGGATTGATATGCATATAAATTTTCATTTCAAGCACAAAAAGACACGTAAAAATTAACATGAACCAAAAATTTTAAATTTAGTGTTTGGAGATTAAATGTTTAACTTCATTGATAAGCCTTGTACTTACCTGATTCAGGTGTTCATTTCTGAAACAGTTTAGATCACGTAAACTTTGGGAATCCCTCGCGATCTTCCTCGAAACTATGATTATCTTCATAAGCGAAAAGGTGTTTTCACTAGGAATCGCACGTTAAATGGTAAGGCAATGTTAATTCTCAGCTTGCACAAATTTCGACTTTCCGGTGTTGTTGTTCGTAGGCGAGCAACAGCTGATTAATGGAAAAACAGATTTGGCTCTTGGAGAAATTATCATTTATATTGCTGTAAATTATCCCCTGAAACAAAATAACGCCGGCCGCCGCTGGTCTTCGTATGCGGCGGGATTCTTGTAGGCCTTTGTTTATAGCAAACAAAATTTTATCACTGTATGCTCTATTCATTTTAGAAACAGTTTGTTTAGTGCATAAACATAAAACAGACCTTCCCTTAATTGTCTCTCATTACACCACATGCCAGACCCTAAATTTAAGTCTTCCCATACCTAACACTACTTCAATTAAAAATTCTATATTGTATAATGGTTTATACACACATCGGAAAAATCTAGCGATATTTTTATAACATACTAAATATCATAAAAATAAATGCATGAGGTCGTTTAATTTCGATTAAATTGGTACACTCGAACATCCTGTAGATTTCTATGGGTTGAACAAAGCCTGCAAAAACGGAATTTCATGTACTTGACTATGTTTTTTCATTCTCAAAAAAAAACAATGTTCACCAAAGCTTCCGGCTCAACCCGACTCGCGTTTCTCAATTTTTCTAGATGTATCACTTCTAGAAAATTTCTATTAGCTTCTAGAGACTTCCATTAGGATATATAAACACTACCTACAGGCAGATGGAGCAAGTCTAGTTGAAAGTGCGCTACGAAGTGATCTAATATGGCGATAGTCTGAAGTTTCAGTTATAAGTGTTTGTGTTGTATCGTATATGAAATGAAGTTGAGTTTAATTGTACATGTGTAGTTAATTATTGCCAAACCTACAGGGAAGACGTAACAGTATTCACCAAAAAATGTTTGAAGTTTCAATTAGAATACAATATAATCAAGTATATCTATTGAAATCTGTTTTTCCGTTAATCTGCTGTCGCTCTCTACGAACGACAACTTTCAGAAGTCTAAATTTGTGCGAGCTAAAGATTAACGAGGTTTTACCTTCCTACCTCGATTCCTACATGGGTTGGATGATATGCAGTGAAAATCAATCATTTGACAGTAGAACTTGAACACGGTTCATATAGCAATTGATTGAATGAGTGGTATGAACCACTCACTCAGGATATTCTCAGGTACTCTGAAAATGTGGATACAAGCACATTTGTCTGCAATTTTCACTTGAGAAAAAATTTCCTTTCCAATGCAAAGGTAAAACAATGGTAATGTTTATTAGATCGATTTGTAAAGATTAATTTGTTAATTCAACTGATGAATGACTATACAGAGTGAATGCATTTAGAATGTCATGTTGAAGAAATCACATTGAAATTAGATCACATAATAAATTGTGGGAAAAACGTTTTTTGGGCTTTCTACCTCTCCATTTCTATACAAAAAAAATGGGAAATTTTCGTAGAAGAGAAGGCAATCAAGTTTGAAACAAATTCTCAACAATGATGTTGCGTGATGTTACGTGAAAGAAAAAGTCCTTTCGAAACAAATACTTTTATTTGAACATCAAATTGCACGAAAAACATGTTTTTCATTCTTATGGAATTAAAACAGATATAATTCACAGGAAAACTACTCAACATGATAAATGGAAGAGCACTGACATACATGACTGTCACAGTATATGTTCAAGGCATCACTCAAAACAACTGAGAAAAACTGCTTTGCCACCATTAATCCATAAATCAACATTTGAATTTTTGGATGACTAGTTCTTCATCAGTAGTGTCCAATATTTATTTTTCGTTGTGCATATCCATCAATCTGTCATCTCGAAACTTTGAAAATTTTCGGTTGTTGACATCATCTTGTTTGTTTTGATATAGATGACGTGGTATATAATCAGTCCTGCAATGCAACATCTACAATGGACAAACGTCGTCCTGACCTGAGAGACGAATTAGGCTACATCGCCCCACCTAATAGAAAACTTCCACCCGTACCAGGATCGAACTACAATACTTGCGACAGGATCAAGCGAGGTACAATAAGTAAGACCGTCATCGCTTTTTTTGCATGCCCTTTATTTTAAATTCACCATCCGTTTCGTATTCGTGCCAATAAATATTGTTTCAGTATGAAAAATGGAGAAACTGTTTATAAAGTAGTATCAAGGCAGTGTCTTTGAGTTGCTAGAATTTGAAATTATTCCAGAGATACATAATACTCGTTTAATCCTTCATAAAAAAATACACTTTTACAATGTTTCGAAAATATTTGAGAATCTGACAGTTACATTTGCTTCTTCCTTAATACGAATCTGATATTTCGCCTGACCGCCTTTATTTCATTCACGGCATTTCAAAATCTCACAAGTTATTCACTATATTCTCAAGATAAAGTATTTCCTTCAATGAAATACAATACCATTTAGATACTTGAGTACTAGTCAAAATCTTTCGAAATATGTTTATATGTAGAAGATCGTAGAAAAAGCCCTCTTAAAACAACTGCTTTATATGAATATCGATTAATACAAAAAACTATTTTTCCTATTCAATTTGTATTCCAAACATTCGTAATGGAATTTAATCAGATATTATTCTCAGGATTGCTACACAATATAGTATAAGAACGACGTAAAATTTCACTTGCATGAAGAACTCTCATTCTCAGTGACATACATCCGATGTTTTGGGATGATAAACAACATTACAAGCACTCAAGTCTCATTCATGAAATTACGACTTCGTATCACGAATGACTTTGATCTACTCATGTCATCAATGACAGTAATCTGTTCAAAAAAATCTGTTCAAAATCTGTTTTTTCGTCAATCAGCTGTCACCCCCATACGAACTACAACTCTCAGAAGTTGAGAAACTTGTGCGAGCTAAGGACTAACGAGGTCTTACCTTTTAACGTGTGATTCCTAACACGGGATTTTTTTGTGTTACCATATATGTTTAACTTTTTTTACTTAGTTCATCACTATTCCTTGAAATCTATCCACATAAGCACTTTTACGAGGGTAGTCTGAAAAGTTTCCGACCTCAACATGAAGATGGCAGCACTAGTAAATTAAAGCTAGTGAATTTCGTTGTTCATCTGTTAACATTTGATCACGAAAGTTTCAGCCATTTTGGACGCGCAGTTGTTATGTAAAAGTCGTTTGAGTGAGTTGAGCTGAGTGTTTTTATGAAAATGGACAAAATCGAGTATTGAGCTGTCATTAAATATTTGTTTTTGAAAGACAGTACGCCTAGGCAAATCAAAGATGAGTTAGAATCTGTGTATGGGGACTGCACCATCATTTACCACAGTGAAATTTTGGGCAGCTGAATTTAAACGTCGCCGTAAGAGCTTGGGAGAGATAAACGTTCGAGACGTTCAAAAACTGCAACTACCGACGAAAGCATCGTCAAAGTTCGCCAAATGGTCCTAAACGACCGCCGAATTAAAGTGAGAGATAGCAGAGGTTATGAACATGTTAAAAGAACGTGTTTGTCACATATTAAATCAACTTTTAGGCACGAGAAAGATATCCGCGCATTGGGTGCCGCGACTGCTCACATTAGACTAAAAACGAGTTTAATTGAAAATGTCCAACGCTCTGTTGGCGCAGTTCTAGCGCAATAAATCCGAGTTTTGGCATGGAATAATCACTGTAGATAAAACTTGGATACACAATTATACGCCTGAAACAAAAATACAGACCAAAAAAAGCAACAATTGTTTTTTCTACTGGGAAAATGATGGCGACTTCTTGGGATAGTCATGGAGTTATCCTAATGGATTATCTTAAAAAGAAACATCATAGGAGCATACTATGCATCATTACTTGACAAGCTGAATGCAGAACTTGCGGAATTTGCCTAATTTGCAGAAAAAGAAAATTCTGTTCCACCAAGACATTGCACCTTCTCACACCTCAGCAGTTGCCATGGCGAAAATCCACAAATTTATTGATTTTCACTTATTTATTTATTTATTTATCGGTCCAGAACCCTACAGAATTGATGAAAAATCCCAAATGGTACATCAAGAAAGTTTCAATGGGGAATGTTCCTCAATTTGGGTTATAACAGTAAATGCAAGTTGAAGAAAATAAAGTTGAGTTCAATTCATGAGTTTTTTAAATTCACTTCGAAAAGTATTCAAATTGATGTTTCAAATGTTGGGTTTTAATTTTTAAAGGGATTTGTTTATCTTTATAAATCCACAATCAAGGCTAAATATAAATTATAGTTCAATACCACCTCCACAAGCCACATAAACAACAGTTGTTCTATTATTTATTTATATAGATGAAG